ATGCTGGGAAAGATTGAAGGTCAAAGAAGAAGGTGACGGCAAAGGATGAGATGGTTAGACAGTATTATCGATGCAACAAACATGAAATTAAGCAAACTCCGGAGCACGATGGAAGACGGGAAGGCCTGGCGTGATGTGGTCCATGGGTCGGACTCGACTGTGCAACTGAACAACAAACACTTTGTTGTAATTATCTGTCATCAAGGAGCTACATTTTGCTGTAATATTAATACCCATATATTTGACTATCATTTCCAGTTGAAATCCAGTTAACTCTGCTATTTGAAGTTTCTGTTTTGGTGTCATATTTTTCATAATTATTTTTGTCATCTGATAATTTATTTTCATTCCCGCCATTTTCCCATATTCATTAATCCGATTCATCAGTTGTTGAACAGAATCCATTGGATCTTCTAAGATAAATACCAAATCATCAGCAAAGGCTTGTAGTTTATATTTATTTCCTCTTATTGACGTCTCTTTAATAAGGGAGTCTTTCTTAATAGTTCTTGTCAGAACTTCCAATGTTAGTATAAACAACAGTGGAGATATTGGACAGCCTTGTCTTGTCCCTTTTTCAATCTATATATTATCCGTGAATTCATTGTTTACTACTATTTTAACTTTCTGCTTTGTATGTATAGCTTCAATTGCCCTTATAAAATTAGTCCCAAATGTCATCATCTGTTGAATAATAAATTGCCAGCTGACTTGGTCAAGTTACTCTCCACAACACTCTTTGGCAGTGATATGTTTATTGAGATATATGCAAGATCCAGATCAGAACAGAACCATGTTAGAACTGGCAATTTTGGTGTGTACCTTAGCAGATATAGATAATTCAAACATGACTCTTTCCCCCTAATCAATCACATGTTACACTCGTCCCACCTAGCAGTTGCCACCACCACCCCTTGGGAATATACGATCCCTTTATTTAAGTGTAAGCTGGCACAGAAAGGCTCAAGGCCGTTCCTCTGGGAGAGGAAGGTGTCTTGAAGAAAATTACTGCCTCTACAAGCAAAAGATTCCCACTCATACTGCATCCACTCCCCTCCCCTCAGGAATGTGCCCTCCTCCCAGCATCTATGGCAAACTAAGTAGAGCAAGGTTTGACAGTCTGTTGTGGGGAGAGGAAGGGAAAGGTGACTGTAAGCTAAGCCGCTCGGAGACTCTGACTGAAGGGCGGGGTATAAATCCAATCTCTTATCTTCTTCTTCCTCCTTCTAAATTAAAAACTAGCTTTAGTGGCATAATGTATTTCCAACAGAGATTGATACCATTTTGATAAAAGACCTCTTCCATCTTTTGAGTTAAAAGTTAACTCTTCAGATTTTCTCTGTGTGATTCTCAGACTTTTGTTCCCTTATGTTTGAATTCCCATATTCCCATAGCTTTACATAATGAAACTCTACAGGAGCGCTATTCTGGATTTTGTTTTGTATTTCTGTAGAGGTGGATCTTGCTTCCAAGCTGATATGGTCAATATCAGACTAAAAGCAGAATCTTATCCAGAGTTACACCAGTTTAAGTTAATTGATTTCAGAGGGTTTATGCCGCAGCAGCCCTGTTAAGGATTAGGCTGAAACCTCAAGTATACTTTACAGGAAGTAAGCCCTAATTAAAAATCATGGGGATTGTTTATAAGTAAACAATAAGACTATTTAGTGCATTACTGAAATCCTGAGGTGCAGCTCCCTGAAAGCATGACTTTCGATACTTCATGTTCTCTGACAGCTGTGAACATGCATTGGAAAATGAAACCCATGAGGAAAGTGAATATATTTATTCCAAGAAAGTCTGTAAAGGACTTGAATTTTGAACAGTGTTATCAAAATTGCTACGGAAATGCAGATAACCTTGAGGATTTAACTTACGTGTGTTGAAATTAAAGTGACTTCATAATTAAATGGAAGTGTTCCATGATAGTTAAAGGCAATGAACCAAGGAGTTTCTTAATTATAAAAGTCCTTATACTTGCTGAAGTAACTCAAATTTCAAAGCAATTCATTAGCCTCTAAAATGAATGGCATTTCTTTAGTCTGATGAAATTACTTCACAAACTGGCAGGCTACCAAGAGGATGAAACTTGGCAGAGAATACTTGATTTTATGTGAGGAAATAAGGTTCCCAATTTATAAATACTTTTTTTAAAAAGTATCTACATTAAAAGGGCTCTTATATCATTTCTGGAAATGTTTGAGCATTTGAACTAGCAGATCGTATGTAATGCTACAGTAATGTAACAACTGTTTTTGTGATACACTAATGTTGAACAATTCATTTCCAGAACTCTTTTTGATCCCATACCGCAGGTATGTCCAGCAGGTAGATCACGGAGGGGTCAGAAGTAGATCACCAGCCTCACTTGGTCTCCTGGTTTACTGGACTCAATAAAAAATAAAAAATGTTCGCAGTTCTTTCTGGATCTTCATCTCTCTGTTTTGTTTTTGCTTATTTTGCTTACCAGTAAATGACAGAAAGTGCATTATAAATGGGGGGCCCTGGTGGAACCCAACTTTAGTGGGTTAAAATCTAATTTGAAACTAATTTGAAACTTTATTTTCATGGTGGTAGATCACCAGCACTTTTGGCCGGAAAAAATAGATCACTACCTGTTCGAAGTTGGACATACCTGCCAAACTGTATGGTGCTTTTCTTGTGCTTAAAAAGTATATTGCTCTAATTGGAGTTTCTTTTTCTCTTTAGACTAAACATACTCACAAGAACATTTTAGTTTGTACAGAAGTTTTCTGAAACTTCCCAGGGGAGACGAGACTGTAATAATCAAGCTACATATTCTGGAGAAGTTGTGGATAATTCAGTGGGACTTCAGCAAAACTGTTTGAGATTAAATGTGTTCTGTTTTTTAGCCAGAAGGGAGACTATAAAGGTAACTTCTGCTACAGTTGCATATGGTAAGGCCAGGTTGACAGCCAACATGGGAATTAATTGATTTCAAAAAGTTAATATGGCTGAGTAACTATACTTTGAAAATAAAACTTGTTCTGAAAGTTATTCTTCTGTGATACTAGGTAGAGGCAGGTAGGTAGATGATTGACATATGAGAAAGGCATTCTGTATTCTTTAAAATGTGTCCCAAACCATTTACTTTTAGACAGCATTATAAATTCTGGTTTAAGTACTGAACCATCTATGGTGTGTAAATAGTTGATTTATCAGTGAAAAATAGATATTGTACATGCTTTGGCAAACAAAAATTGTAAGCATTTTTTGAGACAGGATGTCAATACATGATAATCACATCAGGTGCAGACCATTCTTTATGTAATGTTTTATAGGATTCATTGGGGGAGTGTCCACTAATTGAGATGGATTTTTAAAAAGATTAGACAAATTTAGGGAGGATAGCTTCTCTAACAGCTATACAGGCCTGGACAAATTTAGGAACCAGACATTTTTCAGCCTTCAGGGTTTCATAGTTTAATGACCACATTGTTCTAATTATTGCTACCACAGAGCCACCCTAATCCTAACCTCCTAACTTGTGGCAAAAGTGCTGTAATGAATATGAGTATGACAATACTGATTGTTCTCACTACAGCGAAGTGCTGACTTCTAACCCTAACGTCGTAACCTCCAGTTTCTCATAATTTCATTATCACTTTAAAAAGTTCCATTTAACTGAATCACCTTTGTGCCAGCAGAAAAAGCAACTGGTTAGGAAATGAATTCATCCACCACTGTGAAGACAGCATACGAACGAGCAATGACAAGAACCTCCTGCATATGCAATTCTGATAGGAAATGATTGATAAGCTTTGTACTTCTACTAAGGATCGCCAAGAGACTCGCAAATAAAGTGTTGCTGAAAATACTAGGCACCACAGTGAAATTTCTAGGCACTATGGTGATCTGCATGGGGGATGTGTTATGCTATTAGCCATAACAACTAAATGTAACTCAGTATTGAGAGCAGATGGGAGATTACCCTTTTACCTTCATGCACTGCTGTGAGCTTTCCACATTTCATCCTTTGGTAGAAACAGCCTGCTGGATAATTGCTATAATGCTTGGATGTTTAAAAATCAAAGTTTATGTGATTGTAGATTAGGATTATTGAATACTGGTTTATATTTTCTTCAGATATAATTTAGTTTATTAATGTTTAAATGCTGTATGTTTAGCGTATTTCTTTTGGTTCATATTGTTTTATATACTACCCCAGCCACTTCCTATTATTGCCTTTGAGTGGGACCTACCACTGTGTTATGGAATGTCCTTAAAACACAAAGATTTCACAGTAAGTTTTCATTAACAAAACATAATCCAAGAACTGAATCGCTGCTTACTCATCTAATGATAAGTCTCAGAGGATAGCCATGATGGTCTGCAGTAGTCCAGTAGCACCTTTGAGACCAACAAGATTTTGTGGGTATGGGGTTTTGAGAGTCAAAGCTCCCTCATATCTGGCAAAGGTAGCTTTGGCTCTTGAAAGCTGATACCTCCAAAATCTTGTTGGTCCCTAAGGTGCCACTGAACATAAGGACACTCACAAAGTCTTAGTTTACATTACACACATTCTGAGTTACTGTATGTTTTTAGAACACTTTTATTGACTAAAATGCAAAGCTGTACCATGATCATGTTTTTTCCTTTCTGAATTCAGAGAGAATTATGGATTCTGAATGACAGCTACTGATTGTGAAAGTAAAACCAATCATTAGGTGTGGGTGATGAAGAACTTAAAAGGAGCCAGCAGTGCCTCTGAATTCTCCTCTAGCAAAATGAAAATCCTTGAGGCGAAGTCTTCAATTCAATGATTTAAAAATGGGGGAACGAGGAAGGAGTCTGGATTCTGGAAATAACCAAAAATCAGACAGTGATAAAAGCTATTCCTACTATTCTGATGATGATTCTTCTTGTGCCTCTGACTGCTCCGCAGCAGTAAGCACTCAGTCTACAAACACTGAAGAAAAAAGTCATAAAGCACAGAATCTGAAGACCCTTGGACATTACCAAGGTAAGCAGCTGATACTTTCCAATTTATATCAAAACAATAAACTTTTACAGAGTGGAAGTTCCACTGAAATAGATTGATAAACTGATCTGTCATTATTAGTTTGGACTAAAATGTAGCCGTTGCCTTTAAAATAAGAATCAAGAACCAAAAGGGTGAGAAGAAAGTCAAATGAAGGGCCAATATTAAAAACCTAGTTAAAACTTATACAAAAATACAAGTATTTATTAGAAAGACAGTTAAAAACATACATTAAGGGCCCAATGAAAGCCTCGTAAAAAACGATAGCCTAAACACAAGGGCCAATACAGATGACCTGATGCGTTTCTGCCCTATTGGGGCCTTCTTCAGAGGTCAAACAATATTGAGGTACACATAACTTAAATACATATTGCAATAAGATAACCAATAAGTGAATAATGGACCTGGAAGAGGAAGGCAGTAAAGAGATAAAAATAATTGAATAGGATGATCAGATATTTCTTTTAACTTACAATATGATAAAAATGGCTATATTACTTAAGCAGCAAAATCTAAAGATACATGATGAAGCCTCAAAAGGTGAAAGTCATGTGTCTGGTACCAAATGCACAGTTGCTGTATTAGAACATCTAAAAGATAAGATATGTATAAAAAGCTACTGCAGTAAATAAAAGCCAATATAATAGCAAAGATAAAAACTCAGTAGTCTGTATCTGCTGCCACACTGCTGGAAGGCCTGTGTGCAATCATGATTTAGCATTCCCTTGGGATAACATCAGCCATGACTAAGCATTTTACTAGGAGTGCATTAGCCATGACTAAGCATTTCACTAGGATTGCATCACCCAGCACCAAATTATAAAGGTTAACCACACCTAATAGCACTGCTATTTGCTTGAAGACACTCTAGCTCTGACTTTGATAGCAACACAGGTGTTTTTTGGACCTTAATTGGAAGGTAATGTGTATATTATTGAGTTTTTATCTTTGCTATTATGTATGTTTTTAACTGTCTTTCTAATAAATACTTGTATTTTTGTAAATTATAAGCTTTAACTAGGTTTTTGGTTCTTGATTCCAATTTTTGGGTCAGGTTTGTTTTCCTCTCCCTGTGTCTTACTGCCTTTAAAATAAGATACAAACATTATTTAGGGATAAAAGTACATTTTCTATGGCTTTCATTGTCCTCAGATGTACTCTTGCACCCTAAACAGTTACATGTATTTAATGTGTAGAATGTAACATGTCAGTATGTACAGCGTTAAGAGTGTAATGTGTCAAGTGAACAGTTGTTCTATCTCAGCACTCCTGTCCCTGTCACTTATGCATTGCAAATATCACCTGTTAATTCTGTTTGTGGTATTGTTGTTGTTTCGCTCCTGACTATTCCTAAATACATATAATATTTCGTTGTTTGTTCTTAAAAATTAATAAAATTATAAATGGACTTATGCATTGCAATTTAAAAGGCATGAAATTTCTTCATGCTTTGATTAGAATTACTTCGTATTCGTATACTTTTATTGGCAAATCGGCAACCACAACTAAATAATTCAATCAATAAAATACAGAATACAAAATCCATCAGATATCAAACTTCATACAGATTGGAATTACTTCTCATGGGATAGCTCTGTTAGAGTTTCAGTAACAAAGATCCCAGACTATCTTCAGGAACTTCTGATCTGTTTCAGTTCTGTTTGTTCTCTCTCTTGTGTATGCAGCCTCTTTCTCTGTGGCTACTAAGGTTGTAACATTTTATAATTTCCTAGTCCATGTCCAAATAATTTAGGAATGACTGGAAGAAATTGGGAGCTTATTTGGAACCAAAGGACCCCTCTGTATACCACATTGGTGATTCTGCCCTCAGGTGCTAGGATCACCAGGCTGCTTGATGAGCTCACTCTGGAGCAGGCAACATAGAACGGTCCATTTAAGAAGCAGTCATCTGTTAAGTCAATTCCTGCCACCTTCCACAAAAGTGATGACCTCTGTACTTGTGTTCCTGGATTGTTTTGCTCATATGGAGACTATGTTGTTTGGAGCACCTCAGGGTGATCTTGCTGGTACTTGGCCTGCACAGCTCAGTGCCTCGCAGAAGTAGTATATGCAAATGTCTTTGCCACATTCCCAAGTTGCCTCCTCCTGGCAGCTGCCTGTCCAGTGTTGGAGGGGGAGGAGTATTAGAAGCTACTGTGGAGGTGGGGCTGGCAGAATCACTAAGGTGTTACTGCTGGGGCAGGCTCCCTTGTGGCTTTAAGCATCCTGCGACCGCTGTTGCACCTGACAGACAGCCGCCTGTTAGGTGTAGGAGGTGGGGGGAGTGTGTTGGAAGCCATCAGAGAGGCTGGGCCAGCAGCATCGCTAAGGTGATCCTGCTGGGGCGGCGTCCCTGATGGATTAAAGTACCCTGGCCATGCTCCTAAACCTGACAGACACTGGCCTGTCTGTTGTTGGGGGGGGATTGTATTTAAAGGCATTGGAGAGGCTGGGCCAGCAGCAGGGTCAGGCAATCCTGCTGAGCAAACCTCCCTGGTGGCTGTAAGCATCCCACCTCCTCTCCTACACCTGACAGGCAGGGGGAGGAGTATTACAAGCCACTGTGGAGGCAGGGCCGGCAGGATCACTAAGGCATTACTGCTGGGGCAGGCTCCCTCGTGGCTTTAAGCACCCTGCAACCGCTGCTGTACCTGCCTATTAGGTGTAGGAGGTGGGGGGAGTGCGTTGGAAGCCATCAGAGAGGCTGGGCCAGCAGCATTACTGCACCTCACAGGTGGTTGTTGGCCATTCCTGATTTCCTCAACTGTCATGAGCTCTCTGCAGACTCTCTGCAGACAGTTGGCTTTTTTTACCTCAGAACCTTGAGCTTTGCAGCTGACCAATCAGAGAGTGGGGGGTGCAAGGAGGCAGATGCCTGGCAGACACATAGGAATCAGTGGGTGAGCACATTTTACCCCTTTTGACCCACTTAGGAGTCAAATTTCTAAAAATCCCTTCTTAGTGAGCATCTATATCACAGTAGGAGCGTTCTCCCCAAATTTGGTGTTTCTAGGTCCAGTGCTTTGGCCTGGGCATTGATTTTACGGTGAGGGGACTTTCTTTTATATAGAGAGATTGGTGCTACAGGCCAATTTATCACACACACGCAGCCACAAATCTTTTAATGATACCTGTCACCTTTTTCCTGGCTAGTACAACATTGTGTTATGCTTTCTGCAAATGTTTAATACTTACCAGTGGACTGTTTTGAATACTAAAACAGATATGAAGTGTTGCAGAATTATGTTAAAATAATTCTATAAATAAATAAAAGCAGCCAAAGCTACTTTGATAGTTAATATCTATGCCCCAAACCAGCAACAGGAAAAATTTTTACAAAGATATACAAGAGACTCTTTTAATCCAGACATATGAAGAAATATGTATAATTGGAGATTATAATGCTGTATTTGACAAAACTCTTGACAGGAAGAGTCAAACAGAAAAACAGAAAAAAGGTAATGAACTGCCAAATTCCTTCTTACAATTGGCTGAAGAATTCACTCTAGTGGACACTTGGAGAATTAGGCACATTAATAAAGAAGAATATATGTTTTTTTCAGCAAGACATAAATCATGGTCAAGATTGGATATGGCATGGATATCAACAAATATGGTAAATGATATCGTAGAGACAGAAATTCTTCCTTTAACATTTGCAGATCATAACCCTCTGCTTCTGACGTTACAAGATACCCCGAAAAATAACAGATGGTTTTTGAATTTATGGTTGTTAAAAAACACAGAATTTGTTGCCAGCTCAAAAGAATTTCAAGAATTTTTTTAACGGAATATTCAACCTGATACTTCTATGGACATAGTTTGGGATACTTTCAAAGCATATGCAAGGGGTTGGCTTATTAACCAAGATGCATGGATGAAAAGAAAAAGAAAACAATAATATACTCATATTGAAGAACAAATTAAACAAGAAGAACAAAAGATGAAACTAGGCCCCAGAACAAAGTACGCAAGGATGAGTTCCAGTTTCGGCGACTTACGGACTGGGTGCACCCTATCGAGCTCTAATGCAGGTGCCCCGGCTCGCAGTGGGCGGGAAGGGAGGGGACTCGGATGATTCCAAGCCCACCTTGAGCTCTTCTGGGGACTCTCAGCCTGGGGTGTGAGAGGTGCCTCTTCCAAGGCGACGGCCAAGGAATTGAGGCACTTCTTTACCCTGAGAGGTCCTGCCGTTGCGAGCCCAAAATGTTGCATAAAGGCGCACACCGGATGAAGTGGGCAAGTGATCCAGCATTACTGATCTTCCTGAAGTTAGAAGAAGTCACTAAGCGACTGAATGAACTGTGAGTTAAGTAACCCCCCTAAGCTACTTGAGTTGGCAAAACAGAGAAATGGCTCTAAAACATCAGGCTGACCTACAGGGAGGGGTGGAGAGGGGGACCCCCCCCATGAAAAGTAGCAGTACCTGAGCAGCAGTTTGAAAATAAAGGTGATGGTGGCGGCAAGAGAATCTTAAATTAAGCAAAGGGCTTACAAAATAGTCTAAATCTCAGTGAAATCGATGAACTTTCAGGCTGTTTAAACTGATTTTACCTTGTGTAAACATGTTGGGAAGAGGAGAGAAAATGGTGTTGAAAAAAAGACCTTCTCCAGGAACTTACCCATTCAGTGACTTTTACTCTTAATCCGGAAATAGTTACTGACTTCCCTAATATGATGGCAGCAGCGTTTCACCCTCTGCTGGACCATATGTCTAATATCAATAACAAACTTGACTATTTCTAGTAACAACTGATGGGAATAGACAAAAGAGCAGACAAAACAGATAAAACTATTAAACAAGTTGATGCTAAGATAGATGATGTTAAACAGAGACTGGAAATTATGGGAAAAGAGCAGATCTCTGATAAAGAACAACTCTTACAGCTGCAAATGGAGAAATCTATGTATGTTTTACGTTTTCAAGGTATCCCAAAACAGAAAGGGGAGAATTTAAAAGAAATATTAAGCGAAGCATTGGCACCAATAGTAGATATTAAAGCGGATGTATTACAAAATGATATCAACCTGGTCTATCGAACCTACTCTGATTTCATTAAGAAAAACAAGCTACCTGGTGAAATATTTGTAAAATTCTCCAAAAGATCAACTAGAGATGCAATCCTGAAAGCGACCACTGGAAACCCTCTGGAAATTAAAGGTGAGGAAGCAAGGCTTTTGAAAGACATTCCATTTGAGATATGAAAACGGAGACAACAATACAAAAATTTAACTTCTTTTCTGCACAACCATTCCCTTCAGATGGACATTCCCAGAAGGACTTATATTCAACTATAACAACAAAAAGATGAAAATTGACTCTGCCCAGAAAGCAAAGACTTTCTTGGAACAACAAGAAGAAGCAGCTAAAGACAAACGAAAGCAGAGGACAACACACAAGTAGAAGACAAAAGTGATCACGAGTCTGAAAACAATTCAAGCAATTCTGGTAGCTCTCCAGAAGATTCTGACTCTGAGAAAGGAGAACCCTCAAAGTTAAGCTGAAATATGGAAAAAATGAACACAGGAGATAATAAATTTTTGTAATGTAATGCATCTCTGAAAGTTTACTGGTTGTATAAAATAGGCTATAATGTACCCAATATATAGTTAAAAAGGGCTTAAGTTAGCTTTGTTATGGTAAGAAGCCATTCAGTGTCATTCTCTTATTTTTTTATTGGTAAACTGTAGGAAGACAAATACGTTTGTTTGATGATAATATGATCCTTGCTTTATTCTTGTAGTTTCACATGTTAGTATTAGTATTTACATGCACTTCCCTCCCTTTTATAGTCTTTGTAGTAATAAAACAAATAAAATTTTAAAAAAGAGTATGCAAGGATAAAGATCAAAAATGTACAGCATAAATTTAATTGTTTATTATCTCAAGAGATTGCAAAAAAAATAATGTTTGTAAAACAAAACTATTTTGAAAATGCAAATAAACCTACCAGATGGCTGGCATACAAATTAAGAAAAGAATCAGGAAAAAAACACATAAAAATATTGAAATATGAAAGAGGGGAAGAGAAAAACTCTCACAAGGAATTAAAAAGAATTATTGAGACCTTCTATAGAAGCGTGTACCAGGAAGGGAATTTAGATTTTGATTAGAGATTTCCTAAAAGAACATAATAAAAAAGAATTTTCAGAAGAACAAAGGAAAACTTTAAATGATCCAATTTCTTTATCATAAGTAACTGAAGTAATTAAAAACCAGAGGAAAAAGAAAATTCCAAGGCCAGATGGATTACCTGCAGAATTTTATCAAATATTTGAAGATCAAATTGCATTACCATTGAAAAATACTATTCAAAGTATATCTGAACAAAGAAAATCACCACAGTCCTGGAATCAAGCATTGATTACGTTAATACATAAACCAGATACAGATGAAAAAGAAATTAAAAATTATAGACTAATCTCATTACTTAATGTTGATTATAAAATTTATGCATCTATTTTGGCAAATAGATTGGAGAGAGTGTTGATTTAAACAATCCATCAGGATCAATCAGGTTTTTTGCCTAAAATGAGAAATAACATGAGAACTATCCTGAATGTACTAGAATACTTTGAAGCTCATCCTGAAAAACAAATGTCACTGATGTTTCTTGATGCAGAAAAAGCCTTTGACAGTCTTTCTTGGTCCTTTATGCTGGAACAACTATTGACTTGGCAATGTGGTGAATATATTTATACACTAGTGAAAGCAATATATACGAAACAATCTGCAAAAATTATGGTGAATGGAGATCTTTCACAAAGCATTGAAATTGAAAAAGGAACTAGACAAGGATGTCCATTATCTCCACTTTTATTTATTTTTGCTCTTGAAACATTAAATAATATGATCAGAGAAAATACTGAAATGAAAGGTCTTGGACTCAAAGGAGAAGAGTATAAACTGCAAGCATTTGCAGATGATCTTCTATTTATTTTGGAAGAACCACAAACATTATTCTCCAACTTTTATGTGCAATTTAAAATATGGCCAATATGCAGGTTTAAAAAACAAAAATATTGACAAAAATTGTACTAGAGAACAAATACAAGTGATACAAGATTGTTCAGGTATTGAAGCTCAGAAGAAAATAAAATATTTAGGAATAATTCTAACTAACAGATGTAGTTCTCTGTTTAAAGATAATTATATGAAACTCTTATTGACAAAAAAGACTTAGAAAACTGGAAACATTTGCAATTATCATTGATGGGAAGAATAGCGGCTGTGAAGATGAATATCCTACTAAGATTTATTTTTCTTTTTCAAACAATTCCGATCATAAAAAATCAACAATATTTTAAAGAACTAGATAAACTGGTGAAGCAATTTATATGGCAAGGCAAAAGACCCAGAATTAAGCTGAAAGCGCTTCAAGATTCAAAGGAAAGAGGAAGATTTGCACTGCCAGATTGGCAATTATACCACAAAGCTGCAGCCCTCACATGGATGAAAGATTGGATTACACTAGAAAATTCAAGGTTGTTAAAGTTGAAAGGTCATGACTTAAAATTGGGATGGCACGCTTTTGTTTGGTACCAAAAAAGTGGCAATCATAAATATTTTAAGCAACACTAATAAAGGCATGGGAAGAGGCTCAAAAGATGTATTATAACAAAATACCAAAGTGGGTCTCACGATTAGAAGCTTTCATAACTCCAATAACATTAACAAAAGAGCAGCTGTGGAGATATGAAGACTTGTTAGATGACCAAAAAATATGTCAAATTTAGCTAAATGGTATCCAAATATGTCAAATATATGTATGTTGGAAGTGTAAATCAAATACTGGGGTTTTGTTACCATATGTGGTGGACTTCTAAGGTTGTAAAAAATATTGGATATGGATTCATGAGATATTACAAAAAATGTTAGGTATAAGTGTACCGTTTATATCAGAATTGTTTTTATTAAATATGATGCCACAGAATTACAAGAAATAAGATGCATATATGATTATACAGGTTGTAACAACTGCTAGAATATTATATGCAAAGTATTGGAAAAAAGAAAAACACCAACAAATGAAATAATCTATAAACTTCTGGAAGCAGCAGAAATGGATAAATTGACTTTACAATTACAAGAAAAAGAAGAAATCTTTGAAAGAAACTGGGCAAGACTTTATAAATGGATTGAAAGCTATCTTAGAAAATTATCAAAGTGAATATAAATGGTGTATAAGAATATGATTCGAGTTTAAAGTGTTAATCTAAAAACTGAAACGAGTATACGCTCCATTGTTAGTTGTTTTTCTGTCTTTCTTTTTTCTGTAGTTGTCTATTTCTATTCTTATTAAACTAATAAAATCTTACTTTAAAAAAACCTAAATAAAAACAATAGTTTTGCAAGATGTAAAATGAACAGTTATGGTCTAATTTCAAGTTTTCTCGTTCAGATGTTTCTGTAGGCCTAGGAGTTAGGCCTGGCCCAGCTTACTCGCTAGTGCAGAACAGCTGCAATGTTTCCCTTCCTGTGTAGTTCACAGCTGTCTGCCTGACTGCTTAATAGAAGCTGCCTTGATGGTTGATAATAAAGTGGACTGGGATCAAACAGCTTTGAAATAGACTTTGTGAACTATGAAACGACCATATTACTCAAAGGAAACTGACCTTTTAAAACTTTTTTGGCTCTGCAGAATAGGGGAAGCATCTTCCATTGGGGGCATTCTCTTCTCTCACCTTGGAGCCTTCTCGCACCAGCCAGAAGGTGCTAAGGCAGAGAGTGGAGAACCCCACACACACACACACCACACCAGCTGGCTCACCAAGCTGCTTGTAGTCTGGCATGGCAGTTGGTGGGTACCATCCTCTGCCTCTGTGCTTTCTGGTTGGCTGCAGAATGCATGGAAGCAGAGGGAGGAGGGCCTCCCCGAGTTGGCTTGCTGGGCTGTTTGCAGTCCAGCAAGCCAGCGGGTAGTGGCACATTCCTCTTGCTCCTCCTGCACCTTATGGCTCATGCCAAAAGGGGGTGGAGAGTAGTCATCTTAAATTCAAGGTTATTTCCCCCCCCCCCCCCAAAGTCTTCTGTTATTTAGCACGGTGTCATCTTACATTTGGGATCCTCCTCTTGGATGAATATGATAAGGCTTTCCCCTGTCTCTGCAAAAAGAACCGTGTACTTAATATATGATACAGAGGTCATTTTTACATATTTTTTGTTAAGGGAATGTATGAGACTTTTTAAAAAAGATGCTAGCAGGAGAAGAGACCTTCTCTTCAACAAAGAGTCCTATGCAACTGAGATATTTAATAGCCATGTTCTGATTTTCATAGTAACACTTTGCTTTGTTTGTTCTAGCCTCTAAACACATTGCCTCTAAATATGCACCGAGCAAAAAAGGAATGCGCTGGAGCTTTCGCTCCCAGAGCCTCAACAGGGAATCTCCCATCAAAGATATTGGTCTTGTTACAAAAAGAGTGCTTTCTGCCAGACTACTGAAAATCAATGAGCTTCGTAATGAACTGACTGAACTACATGTAAAACTTGATGAACTGCAAAAAGAAAACAGGGCACTAAAGCAACTTCAGTACAGACATGAGAAAGCCCTCCAAAAGTTTGAAGACACAGAAAATGAAATCTCTCAGCTTCTGACAAGGCATAACGATGAGATCCGAGTACTAAGGGAGCGCTTAAGAAAATCACAGGAAAAGGAACAGACAGCTGAGAGGAAGCTGAAGGTGTCAGAAGAGGACCTGTACAAAGCCAAAGGTGCCTTGCAGAAACTGAGAAGACTTGCAGAAGACAGGCACCTCCCTGAGCGTGATGATCTGGCAAAGAAGTTATCTTCAGTAGAGAGCAAGCTGGATGATAATGAGAAAAGAATTAAGGTGTGGTATTAAAATCATTTGTAATGTGAAATCTATTGAGTCTCTCATCGTGTAGTAGCATCTGTATTCAAACAGTTACTGACAAATCTTACAAGAAAGAAGAAAGCCAAATATAGATAGAATAACTACTTCCTCAAATTATAAGCCTCTAAAGTAAAGGAAAGCAATAAGTCTACAGGTTAGGCACCTTTACATTCTATACCAGCCTGGTACGTTTGTATGCTTTTAAGTAGGGTTGCCAGCTCTGGGTTGGGAAATACCCAGAAATTTTGGGGGTGGAACTTGAGGAGGGCAGGATTTGGGAGGGGAGGGATTTCAATGGACTATAATGCCACAGAGTCCACCTTCCAGAGTGGCCATTTGCCCCAGGCAAACTGATCACTGTTAACTGGAAATCAGTTACCAAGTGATATCCAGCTACCACCTGGGGGTTGGCAACCCTACTTTTAGATGTTACCTATACTCTTTTACCCTGCCCCCCTGTCATTTTTTCACACTTTAATAGCAATATCAGTCTTGATTAATGAATTAAATAAATTACCATTTTCTCATATGGTACTTTTCACATAGTAAACATTTTCATGGTTCCATAGAAGTGACATATATAATCACTCTCTACAACCAGGATCCAACAAAATTCTTTAGACATTCTTGAAACTTTTATTTTACAGACAGCAGCCATATCACAACCTGTTTTTGAAACAACCCTGAATCATTGAAGGGTGTGGCCATATAATGTCAGAGCTACTGTTCAAGAATTAAGCCCAAAGTCCCTATGGGCACACAGAAATAAAAGCAGCAGTTTTTTGGATCATGACGTATGATTTTTAATATTGCATTTACCATATTTCAAGAAATTTAAAAAAAAAACCTGCTAGTTGGGTGCAGAATTCAGATATAAGTTATTTAACATCTTAAAGCAAGATCCTTCAAAATCCCTAATGTGTGTGTGGAACTGGATAGCCTGTTGAAGTAATTTGTTGTATACATGATATTATGCACTCCCATCAGAAGGGAAGTGGGTTGAGTATTAATGAGGCCCATAGTTCCTGTTAATTTTGGCATCGGTTTATAGACATGTTTACTTTAATGAATGTCTGGGTTTTTTTTCTATTCTTGAAAATATGCAAGGCCACAAGCTAAATAGAAATTGCAGAAAAATATCAACACTATAGAATATTAAATCTGCCATAAATAATTCACAGATCAAAGCATGCCATCTGCACTAGCAAAGACAACAAAAGGGTAATAGACACTATCATTTAACAAATCTCAAGAACAATGCCATTTGTCAGTATCCAGAGACTTCCACAAAAACATATCTTAAATTTAGGGTGCCTATCTGCCAGACCTTTTGAACACATATGGAATTTTGAGAAGGGGTAGTGAGCAACACAACAAAGCATTGCCATGGGAGGATGTTAACTTTTGGGGGGAATATGCTGTTTGATGTGAGTTGATTTGAGTTTTTGGAATCTTGAGAAGGGGTAGTGAGCAACACAGCAAATGGTTGACATGGGGGGGGGGGAAGATGCTGTTTAATTTGAATTTTCAAAGAAAGGGGAGGGTTTGCTCCTTGCATGGCCACAGGGAATGGTTGCCAAGACTGGAGACATAAGCAAGTCTCTTTGTATGACCAAGCCAAGAGAGCACAGCTGTGACAGGCCTGCCTAAAATGAGCTCAGTGCTTTGCTAGACAGAATAGCTGGCACGAAGTGACCTGAAGATCATTTTTTCCCCTGTTCCATTTGAGACCCTTTGAATTTTATCTCTGAGACCTGAGAAGCAAGCAGATACCAGGAAACACATTGGCCATTGTGTTGGAAATCACTATTTTAAACTACAGCAGAAGGCTGAAAGAGACGAATCTTAATACTGTTCCAGGAACAGGGAGTTCCCATAAGCTGGGAAGCAGCTGAAAAAGCTCTGTTGTGATTGCACATCAGCCTAGTAGAAATGGTCATTACTAGAAAATGGTGGTGGAAAGTGCTGTCAGGTTGCTGCTGACTTACGGGTTTTCAAGGCAACAGAGGTGGTTTGCCATTGCCTACATCTGCTTAGCAACCCTGGCCTTCCTTGGTGGCCTCCTATCCAAAGTACTAACCAGGGTCAATCCTGCTTAGCTTCCAAGATTTGATGAGAGTCCTAAACAAAATAGGTAAGAATCTCAAAATCCAGCTTATGCTGAATCAGACCATTGACCATAAGCAGCACTCCAGGGCCAGTTCTGGAGGTCCCTCTCTGCTAGAAGTTTTAAAAAGAAATAGTATACAAAACAAGGAAGCTATTCCAGACACCAGTATAAAGATCTAAACTCCTTTCTAGAGTGTTTTGTGGACAACTAATGTGATGAAGAACCAGAGGCTGCAGGCAACTAAGGTGCTTACATTTTTTTCTCATCCCTTTCTTTCCTGTTTCTTTTTCTTGTCTGTCATTTTAAGGAAGAAGGTAAGAAAGTAAAGGGGTTGGGCAGGTAGGAAGTGAATGCCTACATATTGAATAAATAATTAGTTTTATCTACCTTTCACAGTATTATTCTCTGGGGATACATTATCCCATTTGTGTAGAGAACAAATGTTAACGGGAAGAAATTAAAGAAGGACCCATGCAAAAGCTTTCTATTGTCTCCAAATAAATACCAGTGCTTGTGTTCATTTGGCTCCCTACCTTTCTGTGTCTGGCTACTTCTGTGCATTGAAGCAAAAAGTGGTATAGTCCTGGTTTCAAGTGTTCAGAGCTGCCCAGTGAATCTGTGTGATCTAGAAATGTAATGCTCATGAAATACTATAGTGCAGCAAGTTTTAAATGAATTGTTGTGAAAATCAGTTCAGTTTATTGGATTGTATTTACCACTTCTTTTCTACCAGTGGAAGGACATCCTGCTGGATGGGGGAGGCCTTTCCACTGTTTTTTCCACTCCCATTGCAGACTCCCACACTGCTGTTTCAGGGGGTTGCTGAACCCTGGGAGAGACAGTGGGTTGCAATAAGGGAAAGGTTGTAGAAAAATTATGTTCCATGAGAAAAACAGAGCTTGTTCTTCACAGGGTGCAGCACATTGTGTCTGGCAGCAGTGTTTTTTTGAATATATTTATTTATAGCCCTCCTTTCTTGCTGAGACACGAGGCAGATCACATATTTATGTAATCAGACAGCATTAGCAGAACTTTAAAAGTAGAAGACAGTGTGTAGGTGTGGTTAGAGTAGGATAAAACATACTATAAACATTGGAGTAGACTACAGTCCTGTACCTTTTATAAAGAAGCATCCTGAACCATAAATACTTGTTAAGAGATTTCATGTAGAACTTTTTTTTTCATTTAAGCAACATTTTACAATGATACCTGACAGTCTCCTGTATGTGAAGTGTTAAGTTGCCATATTTAAATATCACTAAAATGATGAGTCAGTCACTTGATTAGACAGACTTGACCATATATCAATAATCCAGGCAAACAGTAAAAGAGCTTGCTGTTATACTAACTCAGTACTAACCCACACATAATGGCTTGAGAAGAGGCAGAAATAGTATGATCCAAAAATATATTCCTATAGAATTGTTCTGTTTTTGTTCATGAATCTCCAGCTGTGCATTTTCCATATTAACCAAGGAAAATCTCAATTGATTTGTGAACTAATGCCTTAAGGAGGCAGAGAATATAATTGTTGTCTGCTGATGAAATATTATTCGTAGTAGATACTTTTATATTTTATGATTGTAAGACTGGAAGGCATTTTAAAATAGAACAGATATTTCACATTTAAAGAACTTTTATACGTAAGGATTCCTTAATTTGGTCCAATTCATAAATATGTACTGTTTTTGAAAACTGATGCTTCCAATATATTGCATTTTAGGACTTGGAGAAAACCCTTGACCTTAGTAGTAATAGTTTCCAGAGACAGCTGCATTCTGAGAAAAAGAAATTACATGAAGCTCAAGAAGAAAATAAAGTTTTGCAAGAGGAAATTCAACGACTAAAGCAAAAGTTAAAGGTAAAAGCTGTGATTTTTTTTTTATACAGAGCAACCTTGTAACATTTCTTTCAATGGCAATAAGTTTAACATACTAAGTTAGCAATTAGAAGGTCAAAAGAAGAGCCCAGCTGGATCAGACTAATAGTACATATAGTGCAGCATCCTGTCTCACACAGTGGCACACCAGTTACTGTGGAGGGTCAACAACAGAGCCCAGAGACCAAGACATTCACTTGATGTTGCCTCCTGGCACTGAGAATTAGAGGTTTACTGCCTCTGAATGTGGAGGTTCCCTTTAGCCACCATGGCTAGAAGCCACTGATAGACCTAGCCTCCATAAATATGTCTAATATCCTCTTAAACCAGTCTGGCCATCACTGCATCCTCTGGCAGCGAATTCCACATTTTAATTGCTTGTTGAGTAAAGTATTTCCTTTTGTCCATCCTGAATCTTCTGGTCATCGACTTCATTGGATGCCCTCAAATTCTAGTATTTTGAGAGAGGGAGAACAAGTTCTCTGTGTGCTCTCTCTACCTGTGCATAATTTTATAAGCCTCTATCATGCCCCCCTGCTTAGTTGTCACTATTCTAAACTTAGACATACCAAACTCTGTCAGCCTTTCCTCATAGAAAAGCTTCTGCAACCCCTTAATCATCTTGGTTGCTTTTTCTGTACTTTTTCCAGCTCTACAGGGTCCTTTTTGATAGATGGTGACCAGAACTGCACACAGTATTCCAAATGAGGCCACACCATAGATCTATACAGGAGCATGATGGTATTGGCTGTATTATATTCAGTCCTTTTCCTAATAATATCCAGCATAGTTTACCTTTTTCAGTGCTTTTTAAAAATCAGTGTAACATTTGCTACTCTCCAATCTTCTGGTACAGTGGCTGGTTTTAGTGTCAGGTTATATGTACGATTTAGTAGATCAACAATCTTACATCTGAGTTCCCTAAGAATTTTTGGGTGTATGCCATCAGTACCTGGAGTCTTGTTGGTTTTTAATTTCTCCAGTTTCTCTCATCTCAATTTGAGTCGGTTTTACACTTTTTGAAAACAGAGGCTGCGGACTGAGCACATGCCCCACGCTTTCCATAGTGCAAAGAATTCATTCAACTTCTCTTCTGTCTCCCCATATTCCTTTAGCAATCCTTTTATAAGAGATTGCTCATCAGCAAAAATATTCTCGTTCCTTTTAAATCTTTTGTATAGTAGTATTTCATTACTACTATACAAAAGATTTAAAAGGAACTTTTAAGGAGCTGCGGTGACTCAAGTGGTTAAGATGCTGAACTGCAGGCTGTGGAAGGTCAGTAGTTCAGCAGTTCGAGACCCGGGTGCCGCAAGACGGAGTGAGCTCCCATCTCTAGTTCCAACTCCTGCCAACCTAGCAGTTCGAAAGCAAGAAATTGCAAGTAGATAAATAGGTACCACTTTGGTGGGAAGGTAACAGCGTTCCATGCGCCTTGGTGTTTAGTCATGCCAGCCACATGACCACAGAAACGTCTTCGGACAGCGCTGGCTCTTCGGCTTTGAAACTGAGATAAGCACCGCAACCCTAGAGTCGGATTCGACTGGCTTTCGAGCAAGGGAACCTTTACCTTTAATGAAAGATTTAGTGGTTGGTATGTTAACATTTCCTTCAAAGTTGCAGCATATTTTTATCTGGCTGCTGCAATCTGTTAACGATCTGTCCAGAGAGAGTGCTGGATCAAGATGTTTGGGAAGGAGACAATGTAAGGGCATGAATTAGGGCCCTACCATCATGATATATCTTATCCCACATGGGTATAAGAAGTCCTGCCAGGCCTGGTGATGAGACTGCAGTTCTTTTGTCCTAGAAGGTAGAAGAAAGCCACAGGTCATTTCCACTGCCACATGTTCCTCACCTATATTGGATCTGACAAAGACATCATCCTTGGGGATAATTCAACTTCTTTAGGGTGTAGGAAGCTGGCCTCTATTGATCCTAGATAACCAAAGATTGATAATCAGTACATCCAGTTCTTTCCAAGTACTGTTTTCTCTCTGATTTAGATGTGTAATATATATGGCATTTAAAACCAAAAATTGTTCATTTTATACCAAAATACAATCATTTTGCACACCTAGTTGCTTCTATTTTTTAATCAAGGAGGCAGTTTTGAAAAGCAAGTAACATGCATACTTTGGCCATTGGAATGTCATGGAAAAGATTAACAGCACCGGATCTTCAATAAGAAAATCAAGTAGCCTTTTGAGAACTTACTTCTTACTGCCTCTGTTTTATTTTTAGGACAAAGAAAGAGAACTAGATACAAAAAATATATATGCTAATAGAATGCTAAAACCTTCACCCAAAAAAGGCATCAATATTACACCAAGGAAAAACGGTAATCATTTTCTGAAAGTGCCTTCTGTATTTGCTTGTATTTTGATCAGACCCTTTCATTGTTCAGCTTTTACATTTTTTTACAGATATCTTGCATATCTGGCTATCCTAAAATATCAAACTAACAATTTACAATTCATAAATATGGAGCAGCTTTCAGTGAATACTCAGCTTGCTATCCCAACATGAGCAATGAGTTCCTTTGGTGAAATTTGATAGGAGCAGCACCATTTGGTAGATTTAGATTTGAGGGAGGACCATTCACCAAAGTGTCAAACTCAAAACATTGTTTTGGATTGAATTTAATGTGTTTTTTTATATAGTTCCAAATGCTGTTTTAATAAAATTAAATCAAAAGGCCACAAACTGTTTCAGGCATGGTAGGAAGAAGAGGAATGGGATCTCCCATCACTAGCAGTATCACAGGCCCTGATATGCAGAGCTTCAAGACACATGCACAACAATATTCTACCAAGTAGTTGAAAGAGAAATACTTGTGCTGCCTGCTGGAGGAAATGGAGTTCTTCCCCAAAATTATTTACTTGTGGGAATATACAACAGATGTATATGGAAGACATGCCATGTCTGTGTTAACAGATGAAAAGCACGTACATGTTGTCTGGGGGGGGGGGGAACAGCTCTAATATACTTCCGACTTGTATAACTACCGGATAAGCCCTAATAGGCAATGGTAGCAACACTGTAATTACCGACATGAAAAAATATGCCTCTTTGTATTCTATTTGTATGCATGTATATAAATACAATCCAGCTGTCATTCACTTACTCAAAGTTCTTTGGATTGTTGGAAAGATAAAATAATAAGCTTGAATTTGTAGGTTTCAAAATTCAAGTAAGAGATTATATAGCAAATGCATACTTCATAGTTTTTCTTATTTGTTTTGGCTCTATGTAGTAAAATATAAGTCAGTGAGATGTTAAGAAGCTTTTTAATGTTTAATACTTCCTGTTCTTGATGGAAAAAGACAAAAAAACCTTCCTGAAGATCTGTAACTTTTTCTAGGTCAGAACTTCATTTCATAGTTCATAACACATAGGTCATATGTTTAGTGTATGTTTAATTCAGTCAGATGAATAAAGGAATAACTGGGTTTCATTTTATAAGAATGTTTTAAACCTGTCTGTTTAAGAGTATAAGACTGCTCACATTGAGTATATTTATTATAGCTGTGAATAGGGACACTAAAAAAGAAGAACGGATGACAAAAGGAGTACAGACCTCTGGATATTTCTCCCCTGTAGAATTTCTTCCTCCACCAGATTTTATTTCTGATCCTGTTTCAGAGGAAAAGACAGAAGATGTATATATAAAAACAGTAAGTTTGGTATGCATTTTAGAAGTCCAGTTACGTAGTGGCAGCAGAAAGTCTCACAGTTGTGGATCTTTCCCGCATTCTTCTTCCTCAGTAATTATTTCCAGCCCTGGGAAATTTTAATCCCAGGGCTTCAGGGCCTGCATGGACGTGAGTCACAACGTAGCCACATGAATTGAGAAGCTGCAGTGGGGGTAGGGTTGCTAGTTCCAGGTTGGGAAACACCTGGAGATTTGGGGGTAGAGCCTGAAGAGGGCAGGTTTTGGGGAGGGGAGGGAATTCAACGGGGTATAATGCCATAGAGTCCACCTTCCAAAGCAGCCATTTTCTCCAGGTAAACTGATCTCTGTTGCCTGGAGATTGGCAACCCTAGGAGGGGGATGGCAAAATTGCCCTTGCTGCGTCATCTGATAGCACAGCTCTGCTTACAGAAGAGGGACTGGAAGGTTATTGTCAGGTCCTGTAGTAACCACTCAGTATGCAATAGTCCTTTAACAGGTTTATTAGTAAAGTATGGCTTCTGGTCAGGTGAACAACTTTGCCAGAACTGGCGGGTAAAAGCATTGGGATAGATTGTAGGGTATGAGGTCCACCCCTTATGCACACATCACAAGCACCCACTAAGGCAATTCCTTTCACACATTCACACACTCCCCACCCCTCAGGAATGTCAGGGAGGACTGGCTGCTTAAGGGCTGCACATAGCAATTAGCCAAGCGGGGATACAAAAGCGGGAGTTGGCAACAGCAATAAGAAGCATCTATACACAGTCAATACACATGGGCACAAGCAAGATCCATTCAGCAGATTCTGACATACTGCCCCCCCTAAGCTCACCCTCCCCCTGGTTTGTCAGGATACATTCTATGGAACCGTCAGAGAAGAGGGGGTTCTAACGTGCTTAGATTTGACCCATTCGTTTTCTTCAGGCCCAAAATCCTTCCACTTAATAAGATATTGCAATTGTCCATGGAATAACCGTGAATCCAACACCTCCTCAATTACATAGTGGAGTTCCCCATTGATCGGGAGAGGAGGTGGAGCTGGAGGTTTGCGTGCCCAGGGCGAGGGTCCTGGGTCCCGTTTCAATAACCTATAATGAAATACAGGATGCAAAGCATGTGGGAATTTAGGAAGGTCAAATTCAACAGCCACTTTGTTAATCACACGTACAACTTTAAAAGGTCCCACATATTTCTACCCCAGCTTCTGTCGAGGTTGCAGGCCCTTCATGTGCTTAGTGGAAACATACACAGAGTCACCAGGAGCTAAATCCCATTCGGGGTAACGCTTGTTGTCAGCGTACTTTTTATAATCCTTTTTTGCCTTTTCCAAAGTCTTATGTAACATATCCCATTAGACCACCATACTTGGGCATCGCTGGTGAGGGGTTGGCCCACGTCCACCTGAGAAAGGGGCCCACCCTCATAGCCATACACTGCTTTAAAGGGACTCATCCCAATAGAACTGTGAACTAAGTTATTATAAGCATACTCAGTGAAGGGTAATAATGCCACCCAATTGTCTTCTTGTTGTTGTTTTTTGGCCCCCCGCAGGGGATTTTTTATTGCATTTTCTATAAACTACAAAGAAACAAGGAAGGGTAACTACAAACTACAGGTGAAAGTAAAGAGAACCACTAAAAACCCAAGAGGTGATGGTCATACATTACTTACAAAATTAGCTTTAAGACAATTAAGATTTGTTAACATTGAAGGTGATCAAAAAGTGTATCGCTTCTCTTATATCCATTCCAGCTAATCAGACTATTCAAAGAGACAAACAAGAGCATAATTAATTTTCGCCAGTGCAAACAGCAGGAAACATCAGCATCTCATTTTTACAAATGTTGTTCCCCCAATTGGTAACCTTCCCCCCTCTTAAAACCAGGACTTCTTCCAACATATATATATATACTATCTCATCTCCCCTTCCTTTATTACAATCTTTATCTTCTCCTAATGGTCCATATTATTATGGCAAATCTAACCAGCCTTAAAAACAGTTTCTGTTCTTTCCTTTTAGGGCCTAATTTTCTTCTGGATAGTCTGTCCATAATCACCGGGCAAATTTTCTTCTTTGTGTAGATTGGGTATAAGTCCCTTCGCTTTACTTCGCTTTCAATCTGCAACCGGTCCCAAAACGTCATTTATAGCTTATTGAGGATGAAAAGTACTGGGTTCGCCTCATGGAGGACTCGGACAGCGACATGCTCTTGCACACGTTTATTGTACTTAACACTGGAACGGCAAACCGGCCCTGTAAGGCCAACTATATACACACCCACCCAGCACACCCACAGTCCCATTGGAGGGTTTGAATTTCCCACCAAAGCTTCTATTGGTTCATGCTGGGGGAACTCGGATCCTAGGTTCCTATTGTCTAGAGGAGCTAAGCTCTTGACTGTAGCCATGGACCCCTGGTGGCAGTCCGCATACATAACAGAAGATTATCCCATCTTCATAGCGCTTGTCTTTGGAATCATGTAGTTGATTGTCAATTGTTGGCTCTGTTCTTTAACAAGTATCTTTTTTTTGTACCAGTACGGGTCACCATAACAGTTCACAGTTTGGTAAAGTCTGTGGTATTCAGGTCACCTGACCTGACCAGCCTCTCACTTCCTGAAGGAAGATTCATTTCTGCACCTAGAACGATAGTTGATCTTCATGAGGCACCATGCAGGGCTTTCATTGCTTCTGTGGCCCTTTTGATCTGCCTCTTGTCTTTTCATCTCTCCTTCAAACCACTATGATACATACACACCCATGATTTGGTATCAAGTAGCTATTGCTCTTCCTTGCTGAAGGGGGAAAAAATCAGGAAGGTGCACCAAATGCTCAGAGGAAAACTCTAAAAGTTTCACTGAGAACTGAGCTCTTGCTAACTAGTAGCTACAGAAGGAAGAAGATGGTATCTAGCTGGAAATACATCTAGCTGTGCAGATATTATTATTGATCCTTTGTGTGACCGTTTTCTGACTAAATAATATATTTTATGTTATTTAACACAAAGCTTGTGTTTTTTTGTTTAACACCTATTGTTTTCAGATAGCAAAAATAAAGGCATATGGGCTAAGGTAGCATAGGGTGCATCAACTTGCAGTTTCCTCTTAGGCATTGGCTATATTTGCAGTTTTGCTTGTAGAAAACGGCATTTATAATGTTTAAATTCCATAAATATTTCAAATATTGCAATTTTATATGCTAAGTAAGTTATAAATGATGCATTTTCTGTTAAAGCAGTAAAATTAGTTTTGTTTTGGTAGGACAGCAAGTATTGCCTATATTTCAGTTTTTCCACAAAATAATTTTTCTGGGGAAAATGGGGTTTTTCCTGCCATGGCTTCAAAATTTCTGGAAATGTTACATCTCTAAGCATACATCAATAATTCCCAACACTAGAATACCCACACTAAAGTGAAAATATTCCAAGCATCCACATGCACTGTGCAACATTCCACTCAAGAATGGAAGACAAGAATCCAAAGTGATCAACCAACAAGATAAAGCACAGGCTATAGCTTATCTATCCAAGCAGATCAGGCAAGGTGTGCTTACCAAGGCAGAAGTCTGAGCATCCAGGCAGTACTAATACTGAAGGGAAGATAAACAGAGTGAGTGCTTCACAACTACAGAAACATAAGTGGTTAGGAGCCAGTCAAAGCATGTTTCAAGCCAGGTTCTGGCCTCAGACATATAGTGGTTTAAGTAAAGGAGAAAATATTATTTTCCTTCCAGAGTGGAATAGTGGGGAAGGCACAGGTGAACTAACAAGTATGTCCCTAGATTGCCTGAAGGGATAAAGAAGAGAGGTCCTGAATCACAGAAATATTTCCAAAGAAGGAATGGATCCAGGTGTGAGTGGCAGGTCTGTTCAGAAGCAAGTCCCATCTGTTTTTAGAACTGTAGACTTAGATACTTCACTGAGCTGCGAAATTCAACAGTCCAAGTTAGATCAGTCTGAACAAAGAACCTTTTAGTAGAAAAGGCCAATGTGAGCTTAATTCTTTCTAAACCAGAGTGCTAATATGGCAGGATTCTTTTGTGGCTGATTAATTTCCGAGTGAGTTTGAGTAATGATCTGATGGCCAGGTATTGAATAAACTCAGTCTCTTTCTGGAAATTTGGTGGACCTTAGAAGGTGGTCCTCAGTAGATTAAATAGATTAAGAAATGGTCCTATCCCTTCTACTAGCTCTTTGGGGTACTGATGACTGGAAACTGTGTTCCTTGACTTCACGTGACTTGGTTTTATGTATGGTATTCTAGGATGGTACTAAACTAGCACAAATCCTGAAGGTATGATCTTTCAGTATGGGACTGTGGAGAAACTGCTTGGGGAAGCAGCCAGGCTTGCAGCTTGGAAAGGTACCTTTCCCCCATGGGACCCTCTAAATGTATTGGAATGTTGTTCAAGCCAGAATCTCTCCATTCTGTCTCAGGAGGAGTAAGATGACTTGATGCTGGATGAAAACCCACAAATTAGTGAATTTGCTCTCAGGAAATGTGGTTTTAGAAGCAACTAGATGGAGCAGATTTCCCTTAACTGTCATGGTAGTTTCACTTGTAAATTCTGCCTTATGTTGTTGAAGATCTGGCTATGTAGGGCTATGCCAAATATTCAACTACTGCAAATTAATATGTTTTCATTGATATTGCATAATGTGTAGAAAAATTAGTTTTATCCAAAAAGGTTTTTTTTAAATCTCAATTCTGTATTATACCTCCTGAAGGAAGAGATTGTTAAAAATGACTGGAAGGAACAAGCAGAACATATCAGGCAGGAACAGATCACAGAAAAAGAAGAGCGGCTGAAGAGAGATCAAGAATTGCAAGCACTAGAAGAAACAACCAAGAAGTTTAGAGATGGTAAGGAAAGCCACTTCATTATGCAACGAACAATGAAATCATATTGCTGTACTATTCTCAAGCAACCAGAATGTCAAGTCACATATGAACTATTTCACACTAATAAAAACAAGATTTTTTTTTTACTGGAATATCAAAATGTGAGAATTATTCTCTGAATCATTATCAGCTATCCTACTAGTGAGATGCCTGTTTCTTCTTGGGTTGTAGTGGTTATGAGTGGCGGACTCTAATCTTGGAGAACCGGGTCCAATTCCACACTCCTCCACATGAAGCCAGCTGGGTAACCTTGGGTCATTCACAGCTCTCAGAGCTCTCAGCCCCAACAAATAAGTCTAGCTCACCACCTCGTGGTGCACAATGCTAAAAGAGTTAGAATTTAAGGCTACCAGGCAATCTTTGGATCTCCTGGGTATACCACACAGAATGGCATACAATTATTATTATTGGGTTCTAACTATGCAGCTCTGATTTTTTTAAGTAAACATAATATACAAATTAAACAACTTGAATGAAAATTCTCTTTTGTAATAATAGAAACCTACTTTGCCTTTGTAAGAACAATGAAGGCATGGATGGCAATATAGTGATATACAATTTTTAACTAAATAAATGGTATGCTGGGGTATAGGAAACACTGTGCTTTTGCACATTCTGCATATCTTCAGGAGCAAAGATGAGTTTGCACTTGGTTGCAGGCAGGTTTGAATTCTTTGCTAACATTTGGTGTATTGTGACAAGTGTGAATTTACCAGCCATAAGGTTGCAACCTTAGTATAGAGTGCAGGTCTAGTAGCTTAACAACATGTTGCTTTTGGCTAGTAAGGTACAAGTCTATAGGAGAAAAAGCTTTTTACTCAGTCTGTACACTCTGTTACATCAGAATGGCTTAGGTACACCACAGGGTTTCTGCAAATTGAATAATTTTTGCCCACAGAGTGTGGCTTTCTTACTTTTTCCTTCTCTCTGCAGCCCAAAATGCTGTTCCTGGGGCTTCCCTGTCTCCCAGCAGCAGCATTTCAGGGACATTTTGGGCAGCAACAGGAGGGCAAAGACAAATCCCGCCATCCATGATACCACTTTGGTGAATTCAGTCCAGCATATTCATTTATGTAAAACTTAGTTTCACTTAATATATGTAATAGAACTGCTTTCAGCTAGTTGAACAGGGGGATTGAATTATACTTTTTTGGGATATGAGGTTGTCCATTTGCCTGTACCTAACTATCTATACAAGTGGCACACCCAGCCACATTGATACATTGAAGATTTTATATGTGCATAATTTTGTCAGGAATATGAACATAATGTAGATAATTTTCAAAAAGTATGTGTGTGTGCGTATGTATATACTAGTAGTAAAACCTGTTGTAAAAGGAATACAACGAGTGCTAGCAAGATGTCGGTCTGGCCTTCCTCCTTGGCGAGTCTTTTAAAGGTGCTGCAAGCCTTGCCGCTGGGTTTTGTCGTGCCTGGACTCAGCGCATCACCCCCAAAAGGGCAGCAAAGTTACCTCCCCAATGTGAAGGGGGCACTCAGTGTCTTTTACCTGCTCACCTCCCTCCCTCGAGAGTGGTGGCCCTCTTTCCGCAGAGCCCTGGCCTGAGGGGGAGAAAGAGAGTGAACGCTCAGCATTGTCTCCGCGAGAAGTGATGGGGGGAGGAGCAGGTGTGGGGAGAAGCCTTTGTGCTCGGCCTGCTCTTTCTCAATGAATGGAGGTGGCCACTGACTGACAAACAGCCCCTGAGCCTCACCAATATGCTCGGGTGCCTCAGTAAGGCGAGAGGGGGAGCTCCTCCAACCACCATGCCCACATGCCTAGCAGCCCCTTGGCGGCTCCTGCTGGGGCTTCCTGCACCTCTTGCCTGCTGTTTGTGCTCTGCCCCCAGTGCTGCGTGCACTTTAGGCGCCAGCTCCTTCCCGCTCCTCCCCCCGGCGTCCAGCTTTCCAGGAGCCGGAGCTCTTTTCCTCTTGGCCAGACCCTCCCTGCTGCTGCTGTTGCTGAAAGAAGGTGGGGAGCCTTTGAAAGGTGGCAGCCAGCTTTCTCTGTGGGGCCGCCTGCTGAGCTCTCTCCCTGAGGAAGCGCTGGCCTTGTGGCTGAGGTAGAGGGGCTGTGAGGGGCAGCGAAGGTGAGTGCTTCCCGTGCTTGCTGCCACTCCCTAGGTCTTCCTCCTTCTCCCGCACAGCCTTTCTGGCCAGTCAGGGTTGCCTTATGAAGTCCCCCGCCCCTCAGTATCCTTCCTGGTGCCCCCTCCTCTGTTTCCCTTTTGGGCCGTGGAGGGGTTACTGCTCCCTCCAGGGGGGGGGGAACCGAAGGAACTCCTGAGGAGGAAGCATGGAGGAGAAAAGGGAATGCCCATCGCTCATAATCAGTGGGGAGCTCTACTGTACCACACCAGGCTGCCTCCTAATCCTCTGCCCGGCGGAGCATCCATCCCCTTCACTGGCTCCCTCCAGACTGAGGGTGAGACGCTGGCTGCCTGCTCTGTGGGTGGGACTGAGGCAGCGCAATGAGGCAATGCAGCCAGTGGATTGGCAGACCTTCCGAGTGGCAGCTAAGCAAGCCAAATGCTGTGGGAGCGTGTGGAACGTTCACCCCAAAACAGCATTATATATAAGGAGAGATATGGATGGTGATGAGGTCTACCAAAACTGAACTTAAGAGGCACACAAAATTCTGTAACAAAATCAAATATTCATTGAGTAGTTTAGAAAAACCAAATGTAAACTATCAGACTTGTGCTACTAAATGTATTTATTTATTTTTTAATCACTTAGAATGGAAAAGAGAAGAATCTGAAAGAAAGAAGACAGAAAATAATATCTTGTTGGAGAGAGAAAACAAAACAAAGATGGAATCAGAAATACATACTCTGGAAAATGAGATGCAAAATAGTGAAAATGTAGAAGAAAGGAGACAGAAGGAAATGCTGTTGATGAAAATGTATAAACTTGACAGAGAAACCCAGATCAATACAAAGTTAGCTGCTCAAACATTCACCTCAGATACAACAATTGCTACTTATTCTTTGGAGACAAGCAACAGACCATTCCAGTTCTCGGAGACAGCAGAGAACATATTCAATGGTTTTCCAGAATATGATCAGCATAGTGGGGTTACAAAAGGAGAAACCCAGAAACAGCAAAATGTAGGGGCCACATGTTCAAGTGATGATCTGACATTTGGCAGTTATGTGCCTTCGTTTGCAAAAGGGTCAAGAAGGCCAAGCTGGCTTAATCAAAAAGGTGACGTCTTAGAGGAAGCCACTAAGGAAAATGTAGGTCTCGGTATTAAGAGAGACAAAAAGACCAATTTAATGGAGCAACTGTTTGGAAGCCATGTCAATGTTTCATCTAAGACAAATGACCTGGATTTTTTTGATCAAGACAGTGGTACAGACAGTTTTCCTCAGGATAAAGGCATCACACACAAAGTAAAAGATGACACTGATATTTTCTTTAGTGAAGGAAAAAGCTATAATCCCAAAAGGCACCGATTGCAGCAAACGGCAAGTAGGCCAGCAGTTAAGGCTCTTAATTACTTAGAAGATGAAATTGAAGAAGTGCTACTGCAGTGACGAATATTTATTATGCTATTTATACTTTTTAACCTTTTTAAATATTGTTGTAAACCTGAGGTGGCTGACTGATATGTGTGCCAGGGAATTAGAGTATAACTTTTAATGACCAATCAGGAATACAGCTCTTTGTACAATGTTCTAGATTATTTGAGAGAGGTAACGGTTTTGTTACGCATATGGCAATAATCTTTTCGGTAGGAGTTTCTTAGTATGGCCTCATCCAAACTAGTCAAATGTGTTCATTTCCTCAGTAATCTGTTCCTCTAAGAGATCTCTTTGTATCTTTTGCCAGTCATTTTTAAGTGTTCACAGCTAATTGGTATAATGCCAGCAGAGGACTTAAGGTGCTCCAGTATAGGCATCAAAATACAGCTTTCTGCATTTGGCCAGAAGTAACCAAGAGCCTTTTGTTGTTAGACATGGAGTATCCTTCCTCCATCACTTGTCTTTCTGTTGTCTTCCTGAGGAAATGGTAAAATATATACAACAACCTTTAAAAACATTCAGGGTGATCCAGTTCCTCCCCTGTGCCAACCATGAAGGAGGCCTTCAGTACAGAGAATTCTCTTTTAAATGTGTGCAGCTGCATGTGCAAACTATTGATCCAGGTCTTCTTCCAAGTTTTGTGTGCCAGTATACCAGAGATTGAATACAAACATTCCCTTTCAGGTAATTGTTATTCTATCAATCAGTTCTTTATATAATGCAAAGTTTTTTAAAAAAACCAAACTTCAACAATGAGAACAGTACCACAGAAGAGGTTACATGTTTTATGTATTATGGGAGTTTGTAGGCAACCTATCAACATTGTTTGTGTACAGTAAGCCCTAAATATTTGGAAAAAAACTATTATTGAAGGTACTTTTACTAGAAATGGGTCTGAATTTCTTATAGAATGTAGGACTTGATGGAGTCTAAATAATGAATTATTAAATTAAGATTACACAGTGTATTTTAATATGCATATGAGAAAACTGTTGTTTAATGGTATGATAAAAAGAACCCTATTCATTTGAAAGTTAATCTAGCATTTGTTTAATTTTCCTCTAGCTACAACTGATTTATTCAACTGATTTATTCCAAAGTTGCATTTAGCAACTCTATTCTATAATAAATTACTTGTTGATTTCAGCCAATGGGCATAATCCACCCAACAATATAAAGGCTTTCTGCAGCACAATCTTGGTACTTGTACAGATGTTTCTCTTCAGTTGTACCAAATATCTGTTGCCTGAAGCTATTGGTAAAACTGACTGTTTCAGATATCCATGATGGCAAATGTTAGGGCAAATTAATTTTAATACTAAAATCCTGACAATTTTATTTACTTTTAAAATGTCATTATTTGAGGTAACAGATAGCAGGGAATGTATTATATAAGATTTCTGAACATCCAGTGATGCCTGATAAAAGGTGTGCATTTGGTGTTATCAAATTTGAACTGTAGTTCCATAGAAATTTAACATCCATTCATTCATACTCTTGATTGGAATGGATCTTGAATTATGTACAAAAAAAATCCTTGCCTAATAACATTCTAGACGTCTGCTTAAAGAAGTTGCTGCCCTTCTGTTTTCTTTACCAACTTCACAACACTTCCTCACTTTCCTTTTGGCTTCAAAAAACTGTCCAGTTCATTGAAGCCAGTTCTCATGAATCAGATCTATGCCAAATACAGAAAACTGAAGGATGAAAAGTGCGACATGTACCCAGGGTGCACATGTAGAAATCATCAAAAAACACAACAACCATGCTTTAAACTGATATCATCAGATGCTTCAGAATGCAGAAGCGCTGCTGCTGGCACCAGCTATCGATACTGTGCCTTTTGGTGGCACCTATTAGTGCTGAAGTTGAGGATGGGAAGAAAGATAAAACTAGGTGCCTCTACTGCCTTCTGCTTCTGTCCCTTGTTATCCACCATGTCTAACAGATGATGGTGTTGTAACAGTGCTGATCATCTGTTAGGCTAGCCAGGAAGTCCTGAAGGAATTCTCATAAAAAGTGGAATATCTCTTTCTCAAAAGAGGTCAAAAGTTAGGGGAAGGGCAAAGCTCTTAGTTACTGCACAGCCAAGCCAAGCAATGGCTTCCTGTTAGGGAAACAGGTAATCTTTCCATATCAGTCTAGGTTACCATGCTGCATAAATAATAGCTATTTTTATTTTTATCCATCACATGGATGTTTAGGTGTCATCTATGCTAGCCTGTTTTGGTCCAAAGAACTCCAAAGCCCCCTTCACTTTTGCCAATTCTTCCAGTTTCTTGTTTGGCCTCCAAAATACTTGAAACTTCTTTGGGAGGTTCTTGACTTAACAATAACAGAATGTAATATATGTTTGACTCCAGATGTCAACATATCTAGGAAAACACTCCCTTCCTGTCACTCTCATATATGGAATTTGGCTTACAATGATTTTTTTAGCTTCCAGAAAGAATATAGGTATAGCATCATTTTGGCATGAATATATTTTGAGCATTATTTGCAAAAGATCTATGATTTTTCAGTCAAGTATCTTACTTGAAGTGTCTAAAGGTTGGCAAGTGATCTGTAGTCATGGCTTGGAGCATCTGAGCACTGAAAGTCAGCATGTTTCTAGCATAAAAGAGAAGAGTTAACATTTTCTTTTAATAATAAAACAATAAATCTTTATGATTGAGTAAATCATATGTGTTAAAATAATTATTTTAGAGATGTTGCTATAGAAGTATTATCATCTTTAGTGATTAAAATATATATTTATTATGTAATGTTAATTTGTTTTTATAAATTTATATTTTGTGTAACATAAAACATTTGATTTTTAACAATGATTTTTATTAAAAGATTTCTGTGATAGAGTTGTGCTCAGCTTTCTTGAGTCAAACTTGCGTTTTGTATTACATATACTTCTTTCTCACCTTCATCTAAAGGCTGTGGACAGGTCAGAAGCAATTAGTGTTATTGAACATTACCCAAGTGTCTGAGTGAATGAAATCTCAAAATCTCCCTCAGGTAGTCCATCTCTCATTTTTAGCAGTTGCTGGTTCTAGCAGTGTGGTTGGGTGCCTGATCTGGGCCAGGCACCAACCAATGGTTTGTTTGACAGAGGGACAAGGATCCTAAAGTATGTTCGAAAGACCTGCTGAGACCCTGAATATGGTGAAAGCAGAGTTCATTGAGGAGTATAAGTTAACAGGGATATCTGAACATCTCTTTTTCAGCTTGCAGTCTGCTTGCTGGTTATGAAAAGGTAGACAATTTTTCAGTGAAACCTTCAGCTGTTCATTAACAACTCAATCCTGATTATAAAGTTAGCTTTTGTGTATTAAGACAGCACAGTACCCACAACTGGCAGTGTTTCACAAAATGCACATTCTGATATAGAACAATGGAAGTTCTGGTGTTCTTAAGTCTATTTTATTGATGTTATTTTGTACATTCAGATTTTTGTACAGGCTTATTAAAGCCATACTTATGTCATCTTCCATGGCTGTGAGTAGCATCAGCTCACTTGCAGCACAAATGCAAAAACCTTGAGGTAAAGAAGTAAAACACATACCACAACAAGGAAATGAAACTTCATCACAGCTGCAAAGCTGTTCACAGCCACTTGAGGTGGATGATGGACAGGCAAACAGATCAGATGTTCCGCTCACAGGTGATTGCAGCAGTGAAACTTGGTGTGTCCACCTACTGAATGTGTTTACTACAAAGTTTGCAGTGTCCCTAACGATTAGCACACTTGAGTTGAAATATCAAGCATAGAGTAAAGCTATACATCAATGTTTTAGTGCCCCATTAAAATACAAATATCTATCAGTAGGGAACGACGGCAAATAAGAGGCCAAAATAAACGTAAGAGATCAAGCAGCTGCCTATCCAAGCAGGTTCTGGCACTAATCTGAATTCTAGCAGGGGTCCCAAGTGCCTGTTAGCCAATAAATTCAAAAGAATGGGTAAGATCCATGTAACATCACAACAGATGGGTGGCTTGAAGCAGATCAGATCAGTATAATATATGGGTCCAGGTAATGACCCAAGCTGTAATCTATACAGAGTTTGAGCGGGAAAAAGTACCAAGGGAAGCAGGAATTTACATCTCATGATGAGACAATAATAGTTCTAGGCAAGCAAAACATCCATTTGTAATCGAACTCTGGCCTTGGTTATAGGGCTAGAAATTTGAATGAGTGAAATTTAGAGTGAAATGAAGCCTGTTTCCCAGGCTCAAAGAAATCTGAAGGGAATCCGGGTAAGCTAACAGGTATACATCCTGACTGTATAAATATTGTTAATAAATTGGTTTAACTTGGTATCCAAATATTCTGTTAGTCCTACTGTGATTCTGTGAGACTGTTTCTGTCCAAATAATACACTTCTCTTTACTACAATGTTTTCTGATTTCAATTTTTATTTCTTCTGACCTCATGGCAAAAATCAAGATACAAGTAGCATAGGATACAGCAGTTTGCATCTCTCGAGAAGTGGATATATTTGAAGTTTTGCTTGTAGAAGACTAATGTCTTAAAGTTCCATAATAACTCAAATAGTATAATTATGCATGGTAACTAAGTTATAAATGGTGCATTATACGGCGGGGAGGTGCGGGATATAAATTTAAATATAAATAAATATAAATATAAATAAATATGTTAAAGTAGTACAATAAGTTCAGGTTTTGTTCCGGTTTATGGAGCAGCGATTGCGGACGTTCTCCCTGAACCACGGGAGAGTGATCCGCACACCAGCAGTTTGGAGGGGTGCCACCTCAAGTGACACCCCCACTGAGCCTTTGCGATAGGCTCTAGGCCAGAGGGCTTTTGAGGGGTAGCCTCTTCGACGACAGAACATTGGATAATTGAGGCTCCCCTCCACCCTGACGGTCCAGCCGCTGTGTGGCCTCCGGGCACAAGCTGGTTTGACCGGGACAAGTGCCGGAGATCAAGCGGAATGGCGTTTAAAGTGAGCGAGGTCAGAGAAACTGACCGACAACGTGAGTTCAGAATAAACCGGAT